GGGTCCGGGGGGGGTCGGGGGTCGGTGCCCGCCGGGGGGTCCCCGCGGTTCGGGGGGGTCCCCGCGGTCCGGGGGGGTCCCGGGGGGTCCCTATTTCTGGGCGGGGATCATGTCGTCGATCGGCTGCTTCTGCTCGAGCTTCTTCTCCATCTCCACCATGAGCTTCACCCCGTCCACCACCATCTGCACCTGCTCCACCTCCGAGAACCCCAAACGGTCCGCGTTCGAGATGTCGAACACCGCGCCCACCGCGGCCGTGTCCACTCCGCCTGGGGGGAAACAGGGGTCAGGGGGCACCGGGGACCACCAGGGACCACTACAGAGTCACCCAGGGTCACCCAGGGTCACACAGATCCCCCAAAACTGACCATCCATCCCCACCCAACACCGCGCCCACCGCCGCCGTGTCCACTCCACCTGGGGGGGAATGGGGGGTCAGGGACCACCAGGGACCACCAGAGACCACCAGAGACACCCACAGAGTCACCCAGGGTCACACAGAGCCAGCCATCCATCCCCACCCATCCCCACCCAATACCGCGCCCACCGCGGCCGTGTCCACTCCACCTGGGGGGAAACAGGGGTCAGGGGGCACCGGGGACCACCAGAGACCACCAGGGACCACCAGAGACACCCACAGAGTCAACCAGGGTCACACAGATCCCCCAAAACTGACCATCCATCCCCACCCATCCCCACCCAACACCGCGCCCACCGCCGCCGTGTCCACCCCGCCTGGGGGGAAATGGGGGGTCAGGGGTCATTGGGGACCACCAGGGACCACCAGAGACCACCACAGAGTCACCCAGGGTCACAGAGATCCCCCTAAAAATAACCACCCATCCCCACCCATTTTGGAGTGGTTTTGGGGTGGTTTTGGGGTGGTTTTGGGGTGTTTTTGGAGTGGTTTTGGGGTGTTTTTTGGGGTGTCTTTAGTGTGTCTTTGTGGTGGTTTTGGGGTCCCACCTGTGCCCCGTTTCTGCAGGAGCAGGTGTGGGGGTTTTTTTGGGTATTTTCAGAATGCTTTTGGTGTGTTTTTGGGGTGTTTTTTGGGGTGTCTTTGGGATGTTTTGGGGGTTTTTTTGGGGTGCCTTTGGGGTGTTTTTGGGGTGTCTTTGGGGTCCCACCTGTGCCCCGTTTCTGCAGGCGCAGGTGTGGAGTTTTTTAGGGTGTTTTTGGTGTGTTTTTCGGGGTGCCTTTGGGGTGTTTTTGGGGTGTCTTTGGGGGTCCCACCTGTGCCCCGTTTCTGCAGGCGCAGGTGTGGAGTTTTTTAGGGTGTTTTTGGTGTGTTTTTCGGGGTGCCTTTGGGGTGTTTTTGGGGTGTTTTGGGGGTCCCACCTGTGCCCCGTTTCTGCAGGCGCAGGTGTGGAGTTTTTTAGGGTGTT